GCAAACATTACAAGCCATGGCTCGCACTATGTTATTTGATTCAGGTTTGCCTGAAACACTGTGGGGTGAGGCCATAATGTGTAGTAACCATGTATTAAACAATGTAGTTAACAACTGGTGAATTGCCATTCACTCGTTGGCATGGCAGAAAACCAAATTTAAGTTACCTACACACATTTGGAGCTCCAGCATGGGTGCATGTTCCCTCACAAGTAAAAATGAAAGGTCAACATAGAGCTAAGAAGTTATTTTTTGTAGGTTATGAGGCCAACCATAGATCGTTTAGATTCTGAGATCAAGGCACAGCTCATGTTTATTGTAGCGCTAGTGCAAAATTTCTTGAGCACGTTGGGTGGAATAAACTGGAACAGGAATCCAACAATATTATTATTGACACCCAAATAGTCCCTAAAGATGAAATAAGTAAACCACGAATAGCCATTAAAGAGGAAGAACAGGCACAGGAGGAAGTAGTAGAACAGGCACAGGAAGAAGTCGAAGAACAGGAGCAGGTGGAACAGGAGAGTCCACCAGTAAGCCCTGTATTACTGAGATGTTCAACCAGAGTAACACGACCACCTGATAGATATCAGGCTAGTGTTGTATGCCAAGTGAATACAGTTCCAAGTAATTATAGTGAACTAAAACTGTATCCTGCTAAGGATCAGGCTGCTCGGCAGGAAGCAATGGATAAGGAACTGGAATCATTAAAAAAGTTGGAGGTATACAAAAATGTTAAGTTACCACCAGGTAAACATGCCATAGGATGTAAATGGGTTTATAAGCTAAAGACAGGTGTAGATGGGACTGTTACCCATAAAGCCAGGTTAGTAGCACAAGGGTTCAATCAGACAGCAAATGACTACGATGAGGTGTTTGCACCTAGTCTGAAGGCTCCTACATTAAGGGCAGCATTAGTGTGGGCAGCTAATGAGAAATACATTATAAATCATTTGAATGTAGAGACAGCATATCTGCACGCACCGTTGCAACACACTATTTATTTAAAGAAACCTTTAGGTGTAAAAAATGACAATACAACTGATTGCTGGAGATTGAAAAAGAGTCTTTATGGTTTGAAGCAATCAGGATATGAGTGGAACCAACATATAGTTAAAGAATTAACTAAGATAGGTTTTGTAGCTGGCATGGCTGATCCATGTTTGTTTAAAAAGGAAAGTGATGGTATAGTGTCATTATTATTGTTTATTGGTGACATAGCATTAATCACCAAAACTAAACAAGAAGCTACTAAAATAACCTCACTTTTAGAGAAAAAAGTTAAGATAAAACAGTTTGGAGAAATCAAACAATATCTTGGTTTAAAGATAGATAGAACTAGGGGAGATCTCACAAGCAGATAAAATTAACCAATTACTAAAAAGTTTTAAAATGGAACTTTGTAAACCGGCTAAGACACCAATGAGCCAGGAGTTTAGCCATAGTGATGTTCAAAGTCCTATTTTTGATAAGAACATTTATCAGTCCTTGATTGGTAGTTTATCTTATCTCAGTAATTGGTCAAGGCCAGATATAGCATACAGTGTTAATTAATTAGCTAGATTTAACGCTGAGCCAAGTGAAAGGCACTGGCAAGCTGCTAAACGTGTGTTAAGATATCTAAAACAAACAGTGCAATATGCATTGTATTTAGAGCCAAAAGATGAACTGAATTTAACTGCATATGCTGATGCAAGTTTTGCTACAGACATAAATACATGAAAATCTACATCAGGTACTGTAGTATTATTGGGAAAGGTGTTGATTGGATGGAGGTCTATTAGACAGAAACATCTAAGTTTGTCAACAATGGAGGCTGAATTCTCATGTTTATCCTTATTATGTACAGATTTAGTTTGTTATAAGCAATTATTGACATGGGAATTGATGTAACAAATTCTATTGTTGTTTATGAAGATAACCAATCAGCAATACAGATGGCTTCAAATATTGCTGTTAAAACAAGAACGAAACACAGACTTAAGATATTTAAATGTGAGACAATGTGTGCAAAATAAGATGATTAAGCTAGAATATTGTTATGTCAGAAAACAATATAGCAGATCATTTTACAAAGCCTCTATAAAGCATAAGGCTTGCTGTGAGGATTATGGACTTAGAATGTATGGTTGTATATATTGTCCTACCCAAAAGGGGAGAATGTTAGGAATGTGTCACCCAAGTTATTTGGGTTGGAAATATATAAACTAGGATAGACATTTTAATACTGTATCTTTAAGAAAATACTAAAACTTAATTGGGTGTGGTTCCACAAATGACCATAAGATGGAGCCAGAAACCTGGGTTGTTTAGTCTCAGTCTCAGTGAGTCTCTGTTTCTTCTGTTGGAGAGAGTTGTTGTTCCTCCTAAATGACTGTTACTGATTGTTGATGTAAGTCTGTTACTGAACTGTTTTTTGATACTGGACTTTGATATTTGGATTATCCCTGTACTGAACACTGACTGCCTTACCTGTGAATGACTTGGACTGCTTATCTTGGACTGTGCTTAAACGTTTATTGGAAGTAAAAACTTACATTTACTGTACAGTGTATCTGTGTGCTGTGTGTGTATTATTCTTCACTACTCTCATTACGTCTCCCTGTGTGTGCTCATTCTCCTAACGGGGAATTACTTCAACAGACACCTAACATCAAAAACGTCATCGAAAAAGCACAACAAAGAATGTTCTTTCTGCACCAACTCAGAAAGCTCAAACTGCCCAAAGAGCTGCTGATACAGTTCTACAGAGGAATTATTGAGTCTGTCATCTGCACCTCTATAACTGTCTGGTTTGGTTCTGCAACCCAACAAGACAGACTCGACAGTAATTAGGACTGCAGAAAAAACAATTACTACCAACCTGCCTTCCATTGAGGACCTGTATACTGCACGAGTCAACAAGAGGGCTGTGAAAATATTTACAGACCCCTCACATCCTGGACATAAACTGTTTCAACTATTACCCTCAAAACGACACTTTCGAGCACTGCACACCAGAACAAAAGGAGTTTTTTCCCGAACGTCATCACTCTGCTAAACAAATAATTGCCTCAACACTGTCCAACTATTTACAAAGTGTGCATTACTATTACTATTAATCTTCTCAACACTCCTTATCGCCCATCCCCTTCAATTTGTGACTGTATGGCTGTAACTTTGTCACTTGCATCCTTACGATTTATATTGACTGTTTCCTAGTATGATTTGATTGCTTATTGTACCCTATGACTATTATTAAGTATTGTACCTGATGATTCTTGACTCTTGATGAATGTACTGTATCTTTTCTTTAATGTACACTGAAAGTATTTGCACCAAGACAAATTCACTCTGTGTCCAATCACACTTGGCCAATAAAGAATTCTTCTATTCTATTCTATTCTATTCTATTCTATTCTATTCTATTCTATTCTATTCTATTCTATTCT